TATGGCAAACATCTTTCCTGTGGCAAGGACCCTAAACTCGGGGAGTCCCATCTGCAGACGATGAATAAATCGGGAGACGAAATCACTGCCTCCTTCAGCATATTGACTCAGTACTAAAGGTGTTCACCTCAAGCTTGCCCCTAACCTGGAGAACATGAGGAAAATTTATTCACAAGCCGTTAAGATCGCGCAAAATGCCTAATGCATTACAGAGGCCTGAGAAGACCTTTCACTTAACACCTAACGATGTGAAAATGTCTACCTCACATGATGTTGTGGTTATTCAAAGAATTTACTTCATATGTTTCCAGAATTTTCTTCATGAAGATAACTGTACCTCCTTTATAGTTAATGTAACATAGACTGTTTTTGTGAGAAAACCATAGATGACTGATCTGTATCATGGAGGATTGACTCAGAGTATGGTCAGACTCTATTTATGATGACCTCCTTCAACATTGTTAACTCATTCTTGTTTTTTTTCAATAAAATTATGATTTATTGACTAAATTCATTTTCATTCAATAAACCATATTGAAATTTGAAGTTATTTTCGAATGTTAAAAGTCCTATCTTTTGGACTGAAAAAAGTCCTATCTTGGGTCATCTGTCGCCAGGAAAATAGTATTGTCTAAGCGAGTAACGTTGAAACCTAAGCGGTATACGTGTCAGAAATTACCGCCAACGGCTTGAAGGGACCTCCTCCATTTTGGAATATGGCTGCCAGCAAGAGCCACCTGGGACTTTTCCGTCTTTATATGAGCCTGAGGAAAACTTGGGAGCAACTTGCGTCATGCCCTGTATATCATGTTGATAAAAGAGTGTTCGAAGATCTCAGCAAGGTCTAATAGCTAACATTGACAACATAGACATCTTTAGTTGTTAGGTCTTTAAAACTATTGACAACCTGAAATGGATTTTCATAATGTTTCTATGTGGAAATGAAAAAGACTTTAATGACAATAGTTTTCATTTGGTGGTTATGTTTTGCAGTTTTAAAGGGAATTTTCTGATCACAATAAAATATGAGTTTATGTATTCACCTACGGAAAGTAGAGTAGGTTTAAATATTGATATTTTGTAAAAATGTCTTGAATATATTATCCATGTCTCAATAATCAAATATTTGTGTGGGAGTAGTTGTGTGGAATACAGTTAAATCCATCTACTGTAGATATGGTTTATATGCTAACTTTTTATAATGATATTAGACATATGATGTATTTATATGATATGAGAATCAGTGTTGTGTAGGAAAAAAGCTAACAATTATCCCAATCAAACATTGAGTGGTATATATGTTAATGTCCTTGAATGCCATGCTACAACTGATCGGTATTGTCAGCCCTCTAGGGCAGAGCACCTGCAAATGTTGACCCCTCTGATACCACATCAGAGGTCAGGTGTTCACTGTGGATGATTGATGTGGAATATTTAATACAAAATTGTGTATGGGAAAAAACCCTGCTGTGATATATTTTGTCTTTGTAATCATCTAAACATGATATGGACAAAATAAATATTTGTGCTATGATATTTTTATGATGTCATCTCTATGACATGCAACATTGCCACAGTGGATGTAGGAAGTGCGTCGGTGAATGAACATTGCTTTATGCTGCTTCAGCAATTTTTGCAGCTTTTATCATCATGATAAAGTCACTTGTAGAGGTACTTACCATGGAACCTACTGAAAGGTCACCTTCAAAAGGAAAAAGAAATTACTTTTTATTTCCAAGCCCCTTAATGTGTGCTCCATGTTTGTAATCAGCTTATTCATGGCCATGGCTGCGCTAAAATGAATTCAGATGTAAAAGTAATTGGTGATAGTTTGATTGAAAGTGTGCATAAATTGCATACAAATAAAGAAAACTACTTTAGTGCATGGAGTCGTCAATGTCCATGTTTTCAATGTTGAAATAATCACTGAGTGTTGAATTTACCAAACATAATAGCTCTTGTTCCATCGTGTGTACCGACGTTCCACACAACTAGCAGTGAGGTCAGACAGTTTGTTAGAAAATGATTGTCGTGCTTAAGGTTACGCATTTAGATTCCACTGCATGATCGGCAGAGTTCGAACTACATCAGAAGCATATTTGAAAATAATTGCAAGATGTTCGGACTCATTACAGAGGTAATTGGAAAAATTACAAGAAATTAGGGACAAAATATGGACCCTTTCCTGTCCAAACCCCGTCATTAAAATAATCAATCTTAATATGAAGTTTTCCGCTCAATATTGTTCTGTGTCCGACATGCTATTGTTAGTTGATGGGAAAGTAGTGTGTAATCCCCTATCAAGGTATGCCATCAAATCCTTCATCGATTTAATAAATACTGCCATTCTCTATATAGAAATCAATTTGAAAATGTCCTGTACATTCGTCTTTAATAGGGATTCTCCAAGTTCTCCATGTTTAGTAATGAGTCGCCATGGCAATGGCAAATTTAGTCAAATATATGGATTAAAGTTTTTGCCAAAAAATTGTAAATGTTGGTTTAGATAAATTGAATACGAATGGGTCGCATGCAGGTCCTGTTAAGTAGGGCTTTTAGTGTGATTATTTTCTTGTCAGTGTATGGGATGCTTAAACCTCGAGCATTCTCCGTCTTGTAGCTTGGAGTGGCGTTTATGATGAGCTGCATTGAGTAAACAGATGCGTGTTTCCAAGGGTAATTAGCCATCAGATTACACACCAACATAATCACTGAAATATAAACAAAGACGAAATCATTTAATGATGCTCACAATCTATTATTTGCTATACATTTGGACAAAGTTGTCGATATTTACAGAAAACATCAAATATCAAGCTAGAATGTATGACAAGAAGAGGGTACTTGTAGGAATTTTTAAGGACAGTTTTAGTTTTTGATGTGTTATGAAATCCTTTGTAGTAAATCTTCTTTGAAATGTTCTTATATTATTGCTTGTCAAAAAACAATGGTCATGGAATATCGTTGGAATTGATTTTTGTGAGACTGCTTCAGAACCGATCAGGATCTCTGTGAAAGGAATAACTGCTCAATATCATTGTTTTCAAAATAATCAGCCCTCCTGCTGGGTCACAGGTGTTCAGTGGTCAAAGATGCTGCATGTTGCTGTGAGGAGTTGTGTCCCTTAGTAGTTAAGATTTGCTCTGATTGTAATGCCCAGAGTCCTTCTATTACCCAGTGTAAATACCATGGCCTTCCTCCCTCGCAGCTTGATACACCCAGTGTTGAGGACTGCTCTCTTATGAAAGTCAAGGCCAGGGGCTGTTCATATTTGTATCTGTCACATAGGTGAAAGTAGAAACAGTCCGAACCAATTGGAGGCTATAAATTCAGGAGGCAATATTCACCGAGCAGTATTAGATTCCTTTCACTGACTCCTTACTTAAAGTATGGTATTAAAAAGAGCTCTTTTGTAGGATATAAATACTGGCTTTTTGTATGGTATAAATATTAGCCTTTTCGTAAGGTATAAATACTGGCTTTTTGTATGGTATAAATATTACCCTTTGTTTGTAAGGTATAAACACTGGCTGCTTACAAGGTGTTCAACACCTTACCTTGATGGCCCAGATACCATTGTGTGTGCGCACAGGTGCAAGAATGATCAATAAGGCAAGCGAGTGAAGGAAACGTGATACCAAACTTGTGTAAATTAGTAATGCAGAATTGTGAAATTCTCACATGTTTGATGATTACTTAGTCCCCCCTGTCCATTGATTAAGACTCATCTACATCAGATCTACCCACCATGCAGCACTAAAGGTAGACGCTGGTAGCTGGAAGCAAAGATCTGTTGTGAAGGTTAACTGTTAAGAAAGTCACGTTTACTTTCCACAATCTGGATGTGTTTTGATGGACACCTGCTTTAGCAGTTGTCAGTCAGGGCATGTCTGTCAGATCATGAAAGATGGAGCTTATTTGGGTTGAGATGTGGTAAAATATTCATAGGAAACTCCCCTTAGTAACATCTGTTTATTATACAGAATTAGAGTGATGAATATTTGACTAGACCTGTTAAACTGCTAGGGCTATTAACTAGTTAATTTAAGTCTTGGGCCTGCCTTCATAACTTTCAGTGCACTGATGCAAGACTGGGCAACAAGCACTTTGCTGTGGCATGGTTGATTTGAGGAAGAAAAGCTTTCTTCCCTTGGGTTGATACTGATGCTTATCACAGCATGGTTGCCAGGAGGAGGTTTTGTACACTGCACAAAACCTGCGATGTCAAGGACACCACTGTGAAAATACATTTATTATCATGAACTAATGTGAGGATGATAGCTTGTCTGAATATTGTATGTAAAAGTCAAAATATTAACTGTGTTGAAAGAGAAAAGGTAAACTGGATGTATTGGATAACTGCAAACTGAAATACGTATTTGTAGAGTGGAAATAAAGGTTAGAAGATGCAGTTAGGCGAAGCTGTCTGAAGAAGCATGTGGTTGCTTTGTTCACATCTCATGATTAACCCTTGCTCTGCTAGGTAGTGGCCTATTTCTGACATGAATACCACTGTGTTGTTGGTGTAAATATTAAACATTATTGCCCGAGAATAATCAGTGTTGATTATCTGCTGGAATGAATTCCATTGGTTGTAAAAGGCAAAGTAGTGGTGATAACTGTATGAATAAACGTTGAATATCCCTGAAGCCCCCCAGTGTATCCCCTTTTCTTCACTGTTCAATGGAGTCAGCAATGGCTGACAGTGTTGTCACTGTACACAACCATGTGCCTTGTCCATGCATGGTTTAATTCATTGTGGGGTCAAATCCCAGACTCATCTTGATTGTGATCCTTGGTTTTCAGCCAATACCTGTGCTTGTAGATTTCACTGTTGTAGTAAACATCTACATCTTACGTCACAGTATAGCTTCTAAGCTGAGATATGACTGACATACTCTTCAAAACAACATTAAACACAATTGACTTAATGATGGATGCACTCGTTCACTCATTAACACGTTAGGAAATTTCTAACATTTTAATGTTTTACTTTACAGGAATACTTCAAATGCCCATACGAAGAAAAATGTAAGATGGACGTGTCAAATCGCAGATTCTGTAAAAGATGTCGTTTACGAAAATGTTTTGAAATTGGCATGAGGAAGGAATACATCTTGACAGAGGAAGAAAAGATGAGAAAAAGGGCCAGAATTGAAGAAAACAGGTATTCACGGTAAAATCTTTAACAGCTTGGAAAACAAGTCTATTCTTTTGTTTGTGTTTGGTTGTGGTTGTTTTCTGTATATTGATTTAAGAACGTTTTTCTGCTTTTTTATCCCCCGCCGTGCGTTTAGCGTGAAGCAGCGGATATAGTATTAGGCTCCGTCCGTCCGTCCGTCCGTCCGTACGAATTGGAATATCTTAAGAACCGTTGACTGGATTCTTTTCATATTTGGTACCTAGGTTCATCACAGTAAAAGAAAGGTCCCAGTCAGGTTTGGTGACCTTGACCTTCATTTCAAGGTCACAAGGGGACTTTAACGTATTACCCTTGTCAGCAGGATATCCCAAGAACCGTTAACTGGATTTTCTTCATATTCAACACCAAGCTTATTTAGGGAAAGCGCAGAGTGCAGTCGATTTTGGTGACCTTCACTTAATTTTCAAGGTCATGGTGACACTTTGAAGATTTCAGCATGTTAGACTGCATGTTAAGATTGTCAGCGAGATATCTCATGAACAGTTCACTGGATTTTCTTCATAGACTTTCAAGACTTCCCTTGAATGTTTTTCAATAAGCAATTTCTCTATTACTATTTTTGCAAATTTGATACACTAAGGCATTCATGTCAAGGTCAAAGTAAGTCTTGAAAATATTTGTGCGTTTGAACAACTACAGATCAAGATATCAAGGTTGACTGGTCATGTTTTTGTTGACATTTAACTTCATCTTAAATTATGACCTTGACTTTCATTACTTTTTAAGTTTGATTTGATAATTTGTGGCGGGGATTATGTCACCTTAGTGACAATGCTTGTTATCACAATTTATAATTTCTTTAGAGATCAATACTGTAAGATTTGTATGTTGAACACTATGGGTTCAGAAATTGTTGTTTTTGCAAATCATGAGTCACATATTTGTATTTAAAAAATGTTGTATGAAATGTTCCCTGTTTCATCATAAATGCTTATTAATGAGAATGCTATATATATTTCAGGGATAATTCTGGGATGGGCCATGGTCAATTTGGCAAAAAAATGTAAGACTTACACTGAATCTGATTCTATTTTGCATGGGTCCCCCCCTCTTTGTGCAGTTCAAAATACAACATTTGTTCAAACAGGGGAAATTTCTTGACTAGCATCTCAGCAGTTTTTGGGTAATGGCTGTATTTCTCAATTGCCCACAATTTGGGTCAATTTTCACAGTCTTACACTGACGGTTTGCCAATGGCTAATGTGTATAATCAGCTGTTCTTAAATGTGACTCTGATTCAAGCAATATTTTGAACCCAAGTGTTGCATACTGCATGTTGCTAAGAATTACTAGTCAGAAGATCCTGAGATATCACACTATATTTCTGGAAAGGAAATAATTTTTCAGATGCAATGAGTAAATATTTAGTAAATATTTTACGGTTCAGTTGATATCTAGTTCATGCGATCATGGTTAGGTCATCCTGTATTCATCCAGTGATATCTGTCTTATTCATCCAGTAGTGTCCGTTATTCATCCAAGATGGCAGCAAAACCATCAATTGTCAGGATTTCTCCTTATGTAGACATTTGACTTGATTGCCTCTTCATTGCTTTTCGTTTATATATTTGACAGAAAGTCACGTGAAGTGGAACGCACAAAGACACAGTCAGGTGACGTGTCTTCATCCCAGCATCGGCTACGTCCCTTGGAAGCGGAAGAGATGGTCCACATCAATGAATTGGTTGGCGCCTACCGGCAGTCTCTGGAAATATGCGTGGAGTCAGAAATTTCACGTGATAAACCGTCCATGACTGATCTGGTCAACATCGCTGAAGTGAGCGTCCGTCGTGTCATCGACATGGCAAAGAAGATCAAGTCCTTCAAGGCACTGTCTCAACCAGATCAGATCAGTTTACTAAAGGGAGGCAGTATAGAGTTGTTGATCATAAGATCTGTCATCACATTTGACAAAGACAAGGGTCATTTCCTGGATCCCTTTGATAAGGACAAATACGCTATGACCACTGAGCAGCTCAAAATGGGTGAGGGTGGCGGCCTTTTCGATGAACATATGAAATTTGTGAAATCTTTAGCCATGGATTTACATGCAGATGAGACTATTCTCATTCTTCTATTGGTCATCGCTCTCTTCTCACCCGACCGGCCAAACATTAGTGATAAGAATTATGTCGCCCAGGAACAGGATAAGTATGCACTATTGCTACAGCGCTATCTTGAGTCAAAGTTCTCTTGCCATGTTGTTCGCTGCCTCTACCCCAAACTGCTCATGAAGCTGACAGACATTCGTAATTTGAATGAAGAACATTCACAGGTGCTTCTGAAGGTAAACCCAGAAGGCATTCAGCCTCTGATGAAGGAAGTGCTGGATCTAAACCTCACCAAGGACGGCCAGAAGGTGGTTGTTCCCGTTCCTCAGATCTAGACAAGACTTCCAGAATGAGAATAATGAACCTGTTGTTTCTCAGCTCCTCACAGAGCTTATTGGCTGCTTAAAATGGACAATTTGGCAAGACCATGGTGGTACGAAGGTCTGCCAGATGTCAGCCAGCTTGGAATGAAGTCAGACCTGATTTCAGACTGGTCCATTTCAGCAGGGAGAGTATGAAGGCTTTCTGAGCCCTTGTTAAGGACATAATTACCTTCTTGAAAGAAAGGGACATTGACCTTACTCAAAGTCGTAAGTCCTTGAGACTAAGAAGCTGCCTGAGTTTTTGCCAGTTTTGAATGGAGTATTTGTCTGTGGTACCATGTGTACATATCATTCTGTGTACAAGGCACACTAAACAACAGTACGGCAATAGTCATGTGTATTAGCCATACTATCTGTACAGACATTGAACATAATTGTTTTTGCTTTTTTTTCCATATTATTATAATCACCAATGTACTCAAATTGTACAGAGAAACTTAAGTAGTAATGGCCGAAACTGCCTACCATCCCCGGTAGGCACAAGGGCAAGGAAAGGCTGGAATCAGCTGTCAAGACAGATAACATGGCCTGGGAGAACAGGCTTCACAGATGGTGAGGAGAAAGACATGGTCTGTATGAAAAGATATGGAAGAATTGTGCATGGTTAGTTTGATGTAGCATTCAGACTTGCTCAACAGAACAGATATACCTTCCAATAGTGCTATTAGGGACGAAATTGTAGACTGAAACTGTTAAGTGCTTTTAAGAAATCTTTCAAACGGTTTGGAACAGTTTTGGTGCTCTCTCAACCCATATCACTCACTTCATGCGATGTCCAACACCAGCACAATTTTGGCCCATGCAGAATCTTCCTGGTATCTGCTGCTGATCTTTACAAGATGAACGGATTTGCAAGTGTTGATCTCAGTGCTGACATCAGGAGCTCCAGATCGGGAACTAACGACTGGCTGGCCATGCAAGGACAGGTGCGATGAAATGTGAAAGAAGTGCTGAGCAGTATCCAGAGAATCAGATAAAGAATGAAACGATGGTAAGGAACTGGATTTGACAACTGTGGATATGAAATGTATGCAGGACTGATTTGCATTAACAAAGCATAAGACCATCTTAAATATGCTTTGCCTGCAGCCTACAGCCTACCATTACGCAAAGTGACTGTTGTGTTTTAACAGAGACATCGACATCAGTCTCGGTTTAGAAAGATGCTGAGACTTCCTGGCTGATGTCATTGTTGTTCAAGGTCAAGGTCACTATGCTGCATACCAATGCTGTCTCAAACAGACAGTGTTTAGTACCAAAAACATGTGACAATCTGTCTACAGAAGGGCAAATATATGAAATGGTTCTAGTTCAAGAAATGAGCAACCATTTAGATGACTTTTCAGGACTGGTGCTTGTGTTTAAGCTGTTGAGAGAACTTCAGCCAGCAGAGTTTTGACTTGCAAATGAAAGAAACAATTCCAGCCAATCAGCAAACAGCAGAGTGTTGAGTACCTCTTCCAAACGTCCCAAGTTGTCTCAATCTTGCCACCCTCGGCACCACTGCAGCTGCTGGTTCCCTTGGCAACGTAGAACATGTGACTTGTTACCGTGGCAACAAAGATCATGTGACTGTTAAGTGTAATGCTCTTCTGTGTGGTGTGGCCATGACCGGTGAAACATGTTTTCAAACATCACAGCTAGCAAGACTAGCTCAAGTATTCTCTTACTTTCACTCTGTTGCATGCTATAGTTAATTGCTATAACTTGAAATATTATTCATTTTCCCCGTTAATGAATACTAAACTAAGAAAAGCGATTGCTTTCATGAAATAGTATAGTCTTTGAGTGAGAATACCTGTTTTAATGGTTACGATTTAGATTTATACTAAATTGTGAAACGTATAGATTATTTTAGCCTGTGTCTCAGTAGATTATGAGATTCCAGGAACAATGTTGATTCATCCTTAAACAATCATCAAACATCATAGTGTACAATTCACCAATATTGATACGTTTGTGTTTTGAGGTAGAAATTATGTTATTGAATTTATTGATTCTGAAACAGAAAATACATGATTTTGCCAAACAGTTATTTTGTTTCCTCTAAATGGCATTTATACTTTGTTAATATGTTCACATGACAAGGAAGGGTTAAAAGGATAAATGCTGTGAAAGGGGTTTCCCAGAGAAGAACCCCCCTTGCTTTGCTGTATCTTTTCCTTAAAATATATTTCTCCACAAATATTTTGGGGGGTTTAAATTTAAATAATGGTGTTTGAAAGGTTAGACTATTGCACCACAGAAATATGAAATATTTTATGAATGAATATAAATTTTACTTTCAGAAATACACCATTAGAACTTAAATATTTTTAAATATATTTGAGTTTACTTTTATAATTTTTAAAAATAAGATATTTGTCAATATTTGTGGACAGATATATGTGTTAGCTTTGCTGTACAAATGAGCTTTAATTTCTAGTAGGGTTTTCCCTGCACTTGAGGCCTAAGTGCTACTGTTATTCTATGTTAGGCCATTTGTTCTAATGGGACATTCATCTGTGTATTAACATTTTCATGATATTGTTCTGTGTTATTGATTCATCTTAAAGATTGATTGATGGTCAATCAGTATATGATATTGCCGACAGAGCTGCATTCTTGGGTAGGAATAATCAATGGTGTATGGGAGACTGAAGGAATATGCCAGAGTGAAGGAATAATACTGATATTTATTCTAACCTTTTGTCTCAGGAAAATGTATTAATAGGGTGAAAGGTAAAAGTCCATGAAACATTTCAAGGGATACATTTACAAAGTAAGCCCCACTCTTAATTTGTGTTTTCATATTGCACTGTTATTGAACCATTTGCTTAAATAATAAATTGACTGACGGTCTTGACAGGAAAAGTAAACAGGATGATTGGATGTTTTTCTTAATGTTTCATGTAAGTAAATAAATTAGAGACTGTTCAAAGGAAGAGTTTGCATGATACAAAAATATTAACCTTTTTAGAGATGGATGAGGATGAATTATTGAGCAGTTGACTTTGAAGAAAGCAAGTAAAGTAATGTATTTGTGTGGTTAGGTGCTAGTTAGAAGCAAAATAAAGCTGTTGTGGCATTGCATGTCTGTCGATTCATATAAAATGTATTTTTGAATTTAGGAAGTCTGTTTGAGAATATGTGATAAGTAAAGATGGATAAAAACATATTTTGATTAAGTACATTATGACAAGTTATTTATGACATTTCAATTAATGATTTAGCTTGCCTAGACATGGAGGTCCCCCATTTGTGCACAGGTCCATGTATTAGCATGTAAAACAATAGTGTAGTATCTCATCGAGTTCAGCTTCAGTAAAAGTTTGATTTGTTAGTCTTGACTGAAGAAATGGATCTTGGAACAATAATCTCGTCTTTAAAGAACGTAATCTATTTATAAACACAAAATTGGGCCCTTTAACTTATGAAGTGTATCATGGTGGTTAAGTAGGGAGTATTTAGATTTTATTATGGAATTGTAAGCAATTGAGGTAGGCATTTTGAAATTATATGAAAATAAATACAAATTTGTTGGTTTCCATGAGACGTTAGAAATATTTTTAGAAGCAAATATGTCTCTTTGACTATCCAGAGATGTCGTGGAAATAAAACAAACGTTCTGTTTTGAATCAGGTAAGACATTGTGATAGAGTGAATGATGTGACCTTTGATCTTAGGTATGTCATGTGATATGTTTGGTTGGGTATGTGCTAAATACCTCATATCTTACATATAGTGTGATGGCTCACAGCAGACCAGTGTGGTTAGTATTAAGGTTGCTGAGTGTATGTTAATCAATTGATGTTTACATAATTTATGCTTTGGTAAATGCATTCAATATCTCCATACATCGTCACACTGCTTCTGTTTCGTGTAAAGTAGATATGAAGTTACTGAAACACAAAGCAAACATGAGTATTATAATCCGTCTTAAGAATTTTTGTCATGCTAGACAAAATTCTATGTCTCTGGCAGCAGGTAGGAAACAATTCTCTCTGCACCATCAATTCTGGAGGATATCATGTAGAGTTTTTATCGCTTTTGTATTCATTTTTTTCATGAAAAATTACTTCATAAATTTATTCAAAAATGTTATTTACATATATCTTTTAGACATGCAGTTCAGTTTTAGTTAAGAAAGAACATTTTATTGCTTACTTTTTATCTATACTCTTGAGAAATTTCTATGATGTCTGTGCCATATTTGTGTGTTCGTCTGTAGTTGTTTAATTGTCTATGCAAGCTTTTCTGTCATAGTAGGAATTCCCTTGTTGTATATAAACTGTTAAAAACCTATTCCGTTCATATTAGAAGTATCTTATGTGAGATTTTTATCACAAAGGAACTATGCATATCTGTCTATGAATTATCCTGGCTGATAAGGGAGAACAATAGCAATAATAATTGTTCACAACAGCTCTGTATATTGTTATCGCTTATCTCAATAAATGCTTAAGGGATCGTCTCAAAACTTCTCCTTTTCTTAAAAGTTGCTTATGTCAAATGGTCCTTCTTAACCCCATTGTAAACAGATCAACTAAGAGATTATATCTGTCACATGTCCCTTTAAGATGTAGTAGTATCTTTTCTTGATTTGGAAACAAGCTGAAATTGTTTGAGACATCCCAAAACTATAATTCTTCTGTTGGAGATGTGTTTATTTTCAAGTTCAAGTCTGTGTCATGATCATTACATTCACTGTTTTTTCTCTCAGTTGTTGGATTACTTGTTATAAATGGCATATACCTAGACCTTGAATCTTTATGTGAATGCACAAAACAGTGTCATGTTATAGACTAGATAGTTGATAACATTGTAAGGGTATACAGACATTTTGAGAAGGCAGCATTTAGAATTAAAAGAGAGGGACTAACAACACCTCCCTGCTATATCCCTGTATTTCAAAACTAGACCTTGAAGTATGGACTAGACCTGAATTTATTATTGTCTTTGAAACTGTTGCAGTTTAGTCAATGATGCCTGTATGATAGTTTGTTTTCATTGTCCTATTGTTTTCACTTTGCCTTCACATAAGATGTTACTCTCGTGTAAATTGGTTGACTTGGTGCAGATATTAAAGTGGACATTGTATTGAACCATGTCAGATTGGTTCATAATTACTGATATGACTTGTCAGAAGTTGAAAGTATGGTGAAAGATTCCTCACAGCCTCTTCCTGTATGTAAAGAGAATTTTGATTGGATGAAATCAAATTAGTGTGACGAGGAATGTCATGATTATAAATACATACATACAAGGTTTTGGAGGAAAATAAACAGACTATTCCTACCCAAATTGTTATCTGTTGTTCATTCACTAATCATGTGAGTCAGGCCATATCATACCTCTACATGACTGAACAAGTTGGCCATTTGTATCAACAGTGTTGCTGTTATGTCATGGCCTGACGGATTTATCTGGGGAGCATGTGATGGATATTTGTCAGATCAATTTCGGTGCTGATACTCCAATCAGCAATCAGCAGTTCCTGATGGTTGCAGGGAGGTAACTCTGCACTCTGAAGAAGTGACAAAACTTAGTCATTCAGGATACACTAGGCTACTGGATTTTAAGTAAGGTTGTCCTGATCATACCTTTACACAGATGTTATGCATTTTAACTTGAACTGACGGTGGCCCTCATAACGAAAAGGGCCCAGGTTCGATTCCCCATAATGATGGGTTATTGCCTAAAGCAGTGTGAATCTTTCCCACTCACTCCACATGATATTGATGAAAGGTTACAAAGAACAGTACAACAGCATGTACTCATTGACTAGAAAATAGGGAATGCTGGGTTTGAATCCCTTCTGTTGAAAGACACACATGCACTCAGAGGTACAGATAAGCTGCGTATCTGCGTAAATTACGCAAATATTTATGTGAAAACGCAATTCCTATTAAGTCTATTGCCAACAGGTACGCTTAAATTTTTGTAAATACTCCATAAATGTGATCTGACAGGCGTACACACAAAAGTGTCAAACCTTAGCTTGTGTACAGGTGGATAGATAAATAACTGCAGTATATTGGGGGTTCTATTTCAGGACATAAACTTGGCAACTTGCAGTCTTTCTTATCGTTTCTCATATTACAGATCAAATTTAAATAACAAACACTAACATTTAAGCTTTAATATATTTTTAGAATTAATGGAGTATGGCAAAATACCCAAATGAGTTTCAGTGAGGTGAGTACAATATGTTGGTTACTCTAAGGAAAATTAGGATACCCAATTGAGATGAACAAAAGCCAGTACATAACTCAATGGTCAAAACAGTTATCTGTACCTCTGTGCACTCCAGTTACATGAACAGTCACCAATACTTTGATATCAAGTTTTCCTAATTTGGACATTTGACATTGTTAATAAGGCGAGGCTGTATCAAGACGGTTTTTGCATTATGTCATCAATATTCTTTGTCTTTGTTACCCTGTATCACCTAATGGCATCACCTTGGTTCTGATGAACTCTTGTGGTCTACTGGGTAGTTTCTGGCTCAAATGCACTGTGTGGTCTACAGGTGACTCCTTGGCTCCGAGGGCGGTGGGGTAGCCTAGTGGTTAAAGCGTTCGCTCGTCACGTGGAAGACCCGGGTTCGATTCCCCACATGGGTACAATGTGTGAAGCATTCTGTGTCCCCCGCCGTGATATTGCTGGAATATTGCTAAAAGCGGTGTTAAACCATACTCACTCGCTCCTTGGGTCCGATGCATTGTGCTGTCTCCTGGGTACTTCCTGATTCTGATGTACTGCGTTGAGTTGTTTGTTTGTTGTTTAACGCTGCATTCGGCAATATTCCAGCTATATGTCTGTAAATAATCGACTCTGGACCAGACAATCCAGTGATCAACAGCATGAGGATAGATCAAGGCAATTAGGATACGATGAGGTGTTAACCAAGTCAACGACCCTTACGATCACGTTAGTAGCGTCTTACCAAACGCATTGACAGTGCCGACGTAGTGTTGGCTAACCGCTGTAGGATGCCATATGTGGCAATGACACATGTGGTTTACCCAATATGGCAGGGACACATATGTGATCTACCCTATGTGGCAATGACATAGATGTGATCTACCCAATATGGGAGGGACACATATGTGATCTACCCTATGTGGCAGGATGGTGGGGTAGCCTAGTGGTTAAAGCGTTCGCTCGTGCACCAAAGACTCGGGTTTCAATTCCCCACATGGGTACAATGTGTGAAGCCCATTTCTGGTGTCCCCCGTCGCGATATTGCTGGAATATTGCTAAAAGCGGCATAAAACCATACTCACGCTCACCCAATGTGGCAAGGTTAAAGATACCTACGGAAACCCAGTAACAGATCTGAGCTGCCAAGTGATTAATTGTTCGAGTAACCAGTGCCTACTTGACCAGTAGAAGTTGTCCAAGTAAAAATTACTTCAGGTTGTCCCTGCCACTGTTGGCCATTTTTCAGGCTTTATGTAGGATATTAACGATACGGCTCCAAAATGAATTTATTTAATAGCCTATCATACCCCTGTGAACGAATGCATGGCTTCCGTTTTGCTACTTTCACATAAGGAACCACGTTGGTGGCCATCAAGTATACCCACCCTTCCGACTAGTCAAATAGTGATCATACCGGGTGTTCGCGAAAACGAGAGCGTGACGTCTATCCCAGCGATGGTACCCTTGAAAATACATGCAAAGCAGGAGGTTCAAAAGAGGAAAATTGTCGCTGATTTGAAAATATCTATCAAAAATGTTTCCTAAACATTTCTAGTTTCTTGAAGGTTGTATCCCAGACGAAACAACGTTTTATTATAACAATGCCAATAAAACAACTGATAGTAGATGCAGGCAAACCCTGGGTGTATGACAATGACTCTAAGACATGAGACTTCGGCCAAAATGTGCAACTTAAGATGTATAGATGGTCGGGAGTCGGATATCGTTCAATAACGGTCAAATAACCAACTCCCTTCAATTGATTACCCAACCTGAGCAACAAATAAAAAGATACCAATAAACCGGCTGATATGTTCAATATTTAGATCGATGAATAAAAAATTCAAAGTGAAAGCAACTTTCCTCAATATTCTATCACACAAAGAATGACTCTATTTGTTCATGTTTCCCTTCATGGCAAGCAGTATCCGAGTAGCGGCAGCTACGTAACGGGTGCTACCCGGGTGGAGATGCGGACACCATTTTATCACGAACACCCGGTATCATTATTATTATTATTTCATACCGATTCATAACATGCCAATGATGTAGTCAGAATCGCACTATGGACCGAAGTTTCAACAGAGATTTCGTATTACTGTTGAAGTGTTTTTGTCGCTTACATCTCCACTACCGTTGCGTAAGCTACATCTTCAAACGACTGCTCGCACGTTACATGTTTACGAGGTCTCAGCAATAGGTTTATGGATGTGGAACGCATAGCCCGTATCGCTGTCAACTGGGAAGACGCTAGCGATGGTTGTACTTCATCGTGGATGGTTTGTGCAAGACGGCGTTAGAATGTGTTGTATTAAGACATTAAGAAGAGAACATTCCCGCCGAGGTGGCTTGTCTTCCCATGCTGCATTTAGTCCCAAGCTCCCCAACGTCCCGTAGTCAAGTTCCTGGACCGTTGTAGCAGGGATTCTCTTGGAGGATCTGGCTAAAGAGCCCCCATATTTAATTAGCCTAAACGGTCCCAAATTAACGAAAACGGACCTGCTTCTAATCGACGAAAACTGCTCAGTTCCAACAGCATAAAGACTTCACATGCATTTCAGTAATAAAGGGGTTAAAGAAAGATTTAAAGGGGAGCTAAGCTAGACGAATTGGCAGCGCTGGCTAGAATGAGGCTGTTCAAACGCCTCTTTACATTGCTCAATCAAGTTTCGTGGTATGAAGCAATTTAACAGTTGAATAAGACAGACAATGTACCAGACACAAATAACGACATCCATGGCTAGTAATGAAGTAAACAGCTTAGTTTCGTTTTCACACGGAATGCACGTGCAGTGTATATTTAGTCCATAAAACAACAGTAATTTCGTATTAATTCGGAAACCCCAGCTTCCTGGTGTCTGCTACTACGAAATCGAATTTAGTCTAATCGCTCAAAACTCTAAAACTCTAAAGTATGTTGATGACTGATTACAATGTCGTGCAATTGATTTGTATTAAACCAAACTGTAAAGTATGTTGGTGATTAATAAAATTGTTGTGCAGTTGATTTGTATTAAACCTGCAAGATATAACATTATCCCACTAAACGAGGTTATTCGTTATATTTAGTGTCTGCTGAAGAACCCAGGGAACACTCTATGGACACACTTCTTTCCAGCCTCTGTAGACTGACCTGTCGGAGTCGTCTGTCTGGAGTCGTTACAGAAGGCCCATCCTTAATTCAGATTTAGACGAAATTGATTAACAAGCGACTTTGTTGTTGAATGCAATGAAAATAACCTCACTAGTAAATCAACAGTAGTAGAATCGATCATAGTTTCTTTCATCAACGCCGTGGTGTTTATTCGCTATATCAAATAGTTAGCTGTCCAGATGATGCGCTGTTCAAGCAGTTATTGGCCCACGTGACGTGCTATGTACACATTTATCTATCCCCGTGACATGGTGTAGCGACCGAAGGATATTTTGGCATTTTATAGCAACTAAATACCGAGGGATATTTTGGCATGGTATAACAACCAAATACCGAGGAATATTTTGGCATGGTATAACAACCGAGGGATATTTCAAAATTGTACAAGTACATCGACCGATTGATATTTTGACATGCTTAGCGACCGAGGTGGCTGAGCGGGTTAGGCGGCTGACTTTGTGTACTGGCGATTAGGTCCCTGACGCTGAGGGTGTGAGTTCGAAACCCAGATGGGACTCAACCCAACAAAAGTACTAGAATCTGTACTTTACTGAGAAAGTGTGATCCCAAATAAAACATTTGTTACATTTTACCACTTTCTTCATGGCATTGTGTCTTCAAAACACACACACACACACACACACACACACACACACACACACACACACACACACACACACACACACACACACACACACACACACACACACACACACACACACACACAGAGAGAGAGAGACACACACAGACACACACACACATACATACATACATACATACATACATCTTACATCTTAAAGTTAAAAGTGTGTGTTTGTGATGTGTTTCTCTGGGGCAGGATACACGTACCTTATCGCCAGCACCTGCATCGTCACTGTTTGTTAGTGATTCATATACTCGGGTTTTGATATGGTGGAATGGAATTTGTTTTTAGCAGAGATTT